ACATCCGAGGCATTGCGCAAGGCGCAGGCAGCGCGCTTCCAAGGTGTGTTGTTGTTGTTTGTCATTTTTGTTGTTGTTGTTGTTGTCGCCGTATCTCAAGATGTTCACGTCCGAGGCATTGCGCGAGGCACAGGCAGCGCGCTTCCAAGGTGTGTTGTTGTTGTGTTGTTGTTGTTGTCATTGTTGTTGTTGTCGCCGTATCTCAAGATGATCACGTCCGAGGCATTGCGCGAGGCACAGGCAGCGCGCTTCTAAGGTGTGTTGTTGTTGTTGTCATTGTTGTTGTTTGTTGTTTTTGTTGTTAATATTATTGTTATTATTATTATCACATTTCTCTCTCTATTTCTCTACTCTTTTCCTTTCCTGTTCTCTCCTTTTGTCTCTTTTCTTTTCTTCTAGCCACTATTTTCCTTCCCTCTACTATCTTCTCTCGTCTCATTTCTGCTCCTATCTCTTTCTCCTCTGCTCTCCTCTGCACCACTCTCTTTTTCTCTCGTCTTCTTTCCTCTCCTCTCCTCTCCTGTCCTCTCTTCTGTGCGTTTTCTCGGTGACATTGTTTGCTGTGCATTGTCACCGAGGTGTTGTCACTACCAGTGAAAAAAATACACGGGGGCTCGGGGCGATTTAGCCCCCGAAATGCCAAAAAGAGCCCAAGGAAATGCCAAAAAGAGCCCCCGTAAATTTGCATAGAGTTCAATGCAAACCAAATTTTAGAGTGCTATTTTCATGCACGCGAGCTTGAAAAGGAGCCCCCGAAAAATACATTTTCATTTTTTCCCTGGTCACTACGTTGCAGATCCACAGCAGGAGTTGACTGATGGCGCCGCCTGCACGGACGAGCGGCGAGAGGAGGGTGAGTCTGTCAGTGACTCGTCTGAGCTGCACACATCTAAGCTGCACTCGTCCGAGCTGCACACCTCTAAGCTGCACTCGTCGGACCTGCAGTCGGCTGAAGTGCACAAACCTGGGCTGCACTCTGATCTGCAGTCTGTACTGCACTCTTCTGAGCTGCACACCTCTAAGCTGCAGTCGACCGAACTGCACAAACCTGAGCTGCACTCTGTGCTGCACACGCAGGCTGAGGATCGTGAGCAGGCCGCTCTCGCGCTCGCCGAAATCAGCCGCGACGTCGACTCGTCGCCGCCAGATGGCGCCACCGCCGCCGCCCACGACGACAAACACGTCGGGTTGTCGTCGCCGCGGGCAACGGGCGAGGTCGCGCCGGTCGCTTCCGCCGCCGCCGCCGCGTCTGCTTCGCGGTCGCCCGTTGCCGCGGCGACGATGAAGGTCGGGCCGCGCGTCGTCACGCTGTACACGATGCGCGCCGTCGGCCCGGCGACGGGCGCCGGCGGCAACGCACAGACGACGAGCTCGTCGACGGTGGTGACCTCTGGCGGCGGGGCGGCGGCGGCGAACAAGATGACGATATCGTGGTTGCCAATCTCGGAGCTTGTGTGGGGGGAGAACGCGTGCCGGGGAGGAAACCTCGCGAAGAGGGAGGAGCCGGAGGAGGAGGGCGCGGCCGCGGAGGAGGAGGCGCCGAAGGAAAGGAAGCGTGAGGAGGAGGAGGAGGAGGGAGCCACGGCGGAGGAGGTGTCCCGAGCAGAGGTGAAGCTCGGTGCGGGGGAGGATACAAAGGAGGACTTTGCGTTGGAGGGGAAGCCAGACCGGGAGAAGGTTTTCGATGTTGTGGAAAAGAAGTCGGCCACGGAGAAAGCGTTTAATGTGGAGGGTTCCAATGCAGAGAAGGATTCCAGCATGGAAAATGATTCCAGTGTGGAAAATGATTCCAGTGTGAAGAAGGATTCCAGTGTGGAAAAGGATTCCAGCATGGGGAATGATTCTAGCATGGAAAAGGATTCCAATGTGTTGAAGAAGCCAACTGCGGAGAAGGATTCCAACATAGAAAATGATTCCGACATGGAGAAGGATTCCAGCATGGAGAAGGATTCCAGTGCGGAAAGGAAGCCAACTGTGGATGTGAAGCCCGCCGTGGAGGAGGCGGATCGGACAGCGGTGCGTCGCGCTGCGTCGCACGTGTTCACGAGCGTCATCGAGACGCGCAAGCAGAAGGAGAGACGACTCGCTCAGACTCTACAACAACAACAACAGAAGCAACAGCAGCAGCAGCGGCAACAACAACAGCAGAAACTGCAGCAGCAGCAGAAACAGCAAGAACAGCAGCAAATTAAGCAACAGCAGCAACAACAGCAGCACCAGAAACAGCAGCAGCAGGAGGAGCAGCAACAACAGCAACAACAACAGCAACAACAACAACAACAACAGCAGAAACTGCAGCAGCAGCAGAAACAGCAACAACAGCAACAACAGCAGCAAATTAATCAACAGCAGCAACAACAGCAGCAGCAGAAACAGCAGCAGCAGGAGGAGCAGCAACAACAACAACAACAGCATCAACAGCAGCAGGACTCCAACCCCGTACCCACCCTGAACCCCCTCAAACTCCCCGCCGCCGCCGCCGCCGCTCCCACACCTACCCCGCGCTCCGACAAACCTCAGGACGACGGCCGCCGCCGCCGCTGCGAGGTCGCGGGGTCAGGAGGGGTCGGCCGCGGTCGCCGCGCGCGCGCGGACGTACACTGCCGCAGCGCAAGGTGCATGCCTAAGTCAAGAGCGAGGACGGGGTGCGCTAACAAAGTGCAGAGGCAATCGAGAGACCGGCCAGGCCGTGAGGCAGCGCGACCGAGGTCAGGGCAGAGGCGGGGCATGCTCTAGAGAGCTATCCCCGCACGCAACGGAACAGCCGGCCGAGCACGCCCCGATGCGGCGTGCTCACAAGCCACGTGGCAGCGCAGAGCAGCTACGCACAGTCGTACACCCGAGAGAGAGAGAGTAGGCAGATCGTGACGACCGAGAGCACGAGAGGAGGAAGCAGCGCAGACGGAGCTAGAGAGCGATCCTCAGGTCCGCGGCGCAGGGAGCCGCGCAACGCGACTGCTTTCCCTCGTCCGTCGCCGCCGGCGGTCACTGGTGTTGTCCCAGTCGCCTCGCTAACAGCTGCCTCCTCCGTCGGCCGCCGGCGACGCTGTCGTGTCCGCGGGCGTCCCTGCGGCGGCGCCGGGGGAGGAAAAGAGGGGGGGGGGGGGGGAAAGGAGGGGACGAAGCGAGGGAGGAGGAGGCGGAGGCGGAGAAGGGAGGAGAGGAGGCAAGGCGGAGAGGGAAGAGAGCGGAGGAATCCGAGCGGCGGATGCAGTGCAGGAGGCTGAGCGAGCTTGGCAAAGCGGGGCCATGCAGAAGCGGCAGGCAGGAGCCGAGTGCTCGGCCGACGCAACCGCAGCTGCGGGCACGTCCGGAACACACGTGCAGTCAGATAGCGATGGTGAGTGTGTGTGTGTGTGCCCGAGCGAACACACGTGCGGTCAGATAGCGATGGTGAGTGTGGGTGTGTGTGCCCGAGCGAACACACGTGCAGTCAGATAGCGATGGTGAGTGTGTGGGTGTGTGTGCCCGAGCGAACACACGTGCGGTCAGATAGCGATGGTTTGTGTGTGGTGTGTGTGTGCCCGAGCGAACACACGTGCGGCCAGATAGCGATGGTGAGTGTGTGTGCG